ATAGAATATCTTACAAACCTCAACTTTAAACAACTCCAACCCAGCCAAGCATACCAGATAATCAAATATAGTAGAAACTTCATCTGTGCAAAATCTATCAAAAACTATAAACAAATCCAAAATGCAGTCAACCAAGCATATAGCATCCAACAGCAACAACTACCAGAAACCTCAGAGAAAATAGATAGCGAAACCAAAGATATACTACTCTTCGAACTACCAATCAAGCAAAAATCCTACACAAGAGCAATTGTCAACTCACTTAGAGTAATTTTCAACTTTCCTAGCCTACCAGATACCTACTTTACAGTACTACCAAAGCTCCCAGACAACATATCTGAGCTAAAAGAAGAACTAAAAATATACTTCCCTATTACAGACCCAAAACAACTAAGAGACCTACGATTTTATAAAAGAAAACTCATTGACCACTACAGCTTCACCAAAATATCTGCAACTTACTTCAACTTACTACCAGAAAGAGAACCACTACCACTAACATACCATGAATTAAATAGCAGAGTTAGATATCTCTTTCCTATTGACCTATCATTAAAAGAAACAAATATCTGAGACATAGCAGAAATGCTTAGAAAATACTACAAATTTAGATCTATACCAAATGACTTCTTTATACAAAAACCTATTCTACCACAGGACCCAGAAAAAATCAAACTATATACCAAATTTACCTACCCAATTACTAATGACAAAATAGCACAGGAGTTCTTCAACGAAGCAAAAATAAAATACAAGATAAACTTCCCTATAAACAAAGCAATCCTAACAGCTAACCCCACAAACAAACCAAAACTACCCCAAGACCCTACAAAAATTAAAGAATTCAATATTACGATATCTATCACATCATCCAGAATACTGGTAGAAATAGCCAAACTCCTCAGAGAAGAATACTACTTTGAACATATTCTACTAGACTGGATTAAAATACCTATCAGGCCTAACGAGATTCATGAGATCAAAGCTAACAAAAAACCAATGATACCAAAAAGCCTTGTTGAACTACAAGAAGTATTAGAAAATATCACAGATGAAATCTACATCAATGTACTCATTAAACAACAAAAAGAAATCAACTCTACTATAACAATTCTTCGACAACACTTCAAGATACCACAAATCCTGGACTACATACTAAAACTCTCTCCTCTTTCAAAACCAACCTGGGATATCTTTGTATAACTATGTCAATCACCAATAACCATGACAAAAACAACCATACAACAAATACACATAATACAAACAACTATATACAAACAGATACTATTAATTTAGTTTTACACAATGTATATGAACTCAACAATGAAGTCAAAAGACAAATATGGCTCAACTACTGCAAAAAGAAAATATAGACATAATAAGCATAACAGAAACCAAACTTGCTGAGTCAAAATATACAAATCTACAACTACATAATGAAACATACTACTTCTACATATCAAACACTACAACAACAATAGCAAAGAAACAAGAATCAAGTATGAGAGTTGCAATAGCACTACACAAAAAACTACAACCATACATATATAACATACAAACCTACCCAGGAACAGCACTCTGTATCAACATATTCTTACCACACAAAAACTAATTCTGAATTATAACAACATATCTACCAAGTAACAACAAACAGCTCAATAACA